CTTTTTCCTTTTGATGAATTTGAAGAGTTTCCCCATTTTAGCTGTAGCTCCCCCTCTCAGGAAGAAAGATAGTTGTCTTTCTTGCAATCAATTAATTTTTAAAGGGCACAAGAATAAAACTCTGGGTACTCAGCTAGAGGCCAACATATATGTGTTAGTTCAGATTTGGAATGCACATTTTAAATTAATTTCTTGATTCTCTCAACTCACTTTCCTTATAAGCCTTGTGCTTGTTGTCCCTGAATGGAATTTGCTCAATTAGGTCTGAGTGAAAGGTGCCAAAAGGTGTGCTGAAATCATTATGGGGATTCAGGCAGGTAAGGTCTGGTTCAGAGCAATCCCCCCAAAATATATATCAGTGGATGGGGAGGTTCTCAGCATCAGTTAAATGCTTTATGAGTGCACTTATGGCAAGATCTGGTGTCTGCAAATGCAGGTGCAGCTGAAGTGAATTTGCTCTAGACTGCCTATTCTGATGTGGTTTATATACAATAGAATAAATATCATTGCTTGTAAAATTAATTTGAATTTTTTTTTATTTCTCCATGTTCAGTTACTTTTAATCTGTGTAAATTTCTCCGTGTTTTGCTCTTAATGGCTTGTGCATCAGTTGCATTACTGAAATGTATTAATCAGGAGGTCTTTCTTAAAGCATTTGATCCATTTAATGTATTCAAGTGGATAGTGGATGCTTTAAAGAGATTCTAGTGAGATAAAAAGATACTAGTGTATCTTTTAAAGTTAAAAGATACACTAGTTACAGAATGAACTGCCTGTAGTTTCTTTTCATCCACATGAGAAGTCTTTTCATCCATATGAAAAGCTCTAGTGCTGTTTCTCAATTTTTCTCCCTTGAACTCTTGGGAATTGCATTTGCTGGATGTTAAAACCACAGGATATATGTGTTGTTTTTCAAAGTAGTTGTAGCATTCTTGTGTTCACTCTGTCTGCCTGGTAGCTGTGTTATTTTAGGAAGCATGGGGATAGGAGGGCAGAGTGGTGGATACTAAAGCTTTTTTTATGGTTATAGTGAATGAGAAATTAATTTGTTTCTAGCTTCCACCTGAAAGAAGCTGGCTTTTATTTGATAAGCAATGGGAAAATCATAGTTTGATAAAATTGAAGATGGAAAAAAATGTTGAAAAGTGTATTAGTAGGTTTTTGCTCGTTTTCTGTCCTTAAGAAGAGGGTGAATTGGTGATTTAATTTACATTGGCTTTAAATTGTATAGGCAGTATGCATTTTGTCAGAATTTAAGGGAGGAGTGAGTGAGATAATTTAGTGTTAACCCTTTCTGGAAAGGGTCTGCCAGAAGTAAATACAATGTGTTGCACTTCTGATACGAAAATTCTTTGACAAGAATGCATGAGGTTGGTTTCAAGTCACTCTTTTAGAAGACTCAAAACTACATTATAGAAAGTAGTTGTCTCTTTTTTTCTTAAAATAATTAGCAAGTTTCAAATGAGCAGTCTCTGCAGGGCACTCAGAGCCTGGTAGGGGAATGCCAACATGGAGAAAGTTTCTTGGATGAGGGCCAATGTAACAAATGCAAGCAGGCAAGCTTTGTGTCCAGACTTGTGTTTCAGCTTATGCGAATGGATTTAATGTCCTGAGAGATCAGGCACTGTGGCATAAATTGCAGCAGAAGTACTACAGTACAATGTGCTTGGTTTCATTTGCTGTTGTTTTTGATGTTGGAGGATTAAGGGGAGGGGAAAGGATCAACTACCCAGGATGCTCTGTTAGGAGGAGTAAGTGAATTTCATTGTCGTCAGAACTAGATTGCCATATGAGTTCTGAAAAACGTTTGGCTCCTGAGGGTAACTGCTCTAAAAATAGATTTGGAGGAGAGGTTTCTCTTGGGTCCAGTTTCAGGTTCCAGCTGAGCTGGCTTTAGGAAACCTGTTTGCTCCTGTTGCAAACAGGAGGATAACTGAGGATATTTCTTATTCTGCCTTCAGCATTAATTTTTGGATATACTGACACACTCGCTCTGTTGGTGGAAATCGAGCACTAATGTTATGGCTGACGACACAGGTATCATCCTAACCTTTTTTTTTGTGAGCAAATGGAAAATGTGTACTTGCAAATAGCAGTTATGTCTGATTTTATGATCAGCAAAATAACTGGCTTACTGTTGTATGTTTTATTGCCAGTTTGCTGTCTAGTCTGTGTTACAGGCTGCCTCTGTTCTCTTTGATTACGTGTTCTCTGGACTAGAGGTATTCCATGAATTTATGGCCGGTGGTTAATTGTAAATAATATTTTGCCTAATAGAGCATAACTTAGCATAAGAGATACTGTTTTGTCTTCAAATATTTGACTTCAAAGTTATTTTTAGAGAATGTAAAATTGTAAGATGTCTTGAAGGTAAGCTAAAGTAAAAAGTTTTCATGCATTTTTAGCTAGATGTGACTTAACTGGGGGGCTGAGTGAGGTACAGGATTTTATAGATTTGCTGTTGAGCGGTAGACCGTGCTTTAAGACTTTCTGATGTCTGCATAAAGACATCTGGTGGTGTAAGCACAGGCTTACCAGATATGGCAAGTGACCTACTTCTGGCATGGCTGGCAGCATGTGCAGGGAAAGGGCTTGAGTTGAGAATTAACTGTTTGGAATGAGCTCTGAGCCAGCTTCAGTTCTTGCAGTGTTTTGTTCTGACCCTGCATGTAGCATTATTTGTGCAGTTCATAGGTAATTTTTTTTTTTTCTTACATAACTTCCATTTATATAAAAGTGTTGCGTGATCAAGCTGCCATGCTTGAGTTGTTATTCAAGAGTTTGGTAGATAATTTTGCTATAAGTTAAAAAGCCCCAGAATAAAAATATGCCTTTGTGACTATTGTGAACTACATTCTTATAGCAGAATCTATTTTTGAGGAATTTGCATGAAACAATCTCTTATACTGGAAAAAATATGAATAGTTCTGCTTGATTACTTATATAGGTTGTATTTTCGTTCGTTTCTCTGTTCTTCTGATAAGTAAAGCTTCTTCCTTGGAAGGCAAATAGCAGTAAATGGTAGAAAACAGTAAGGCAAATAGTGTGAAATGCACTAAGATCCTCTTTCCTGTTTGCTCTAGAACCAAGTTGCAGTCTGGAATAATTTAAACTGTTTTTAACCTAAGGATTTAATTTTAAATATATGCAAATCTTTCGTTGACTGCCCTGCTACACAGGTGTAGTGAAGCCCTGCTGTTACATACTGTAATTGTTTATTTCTCAATATTAATATTACCAGTTCAGAGTACTGTAAGTAATTTTCTTACAGTTGAGCATATTTCTGAATGCAGACGCTGCTTGTCTGTCCTTCAGACTACCCCTACATTTCCCACAAGAGAAATGTTACAATGAGCTGTGTGTTTAGACCCTGCAGATATGTAACTAGAGGACTGTGCAGTAGCAAATGATATATGCCTGATGTGAGGCTAAGTTACCTCAGTTTTTCTCTGAATATTATTGGGCATTTATGTTTAATATAGAAAAGAAACTAAATAGTGGGTGTTTGATCTTGGAAGGGAGTAGTGTTAATAAAATAATTCTTTTTTTTGCAGTAAAATGCTGAGCTGGATAAGAGTTAGTGTGGGTCAGTGGTTTTTATATTGGTCTGAACTTTGTATAAAGCACAATGAATGTAATAAAAGAGTATTTTTACAGTTGTAAACCTGCTGGCAAGCAGGGTCAGAGAGTACTTATATATAGTTCCTGTTACAAAAACAAGTCAGTCACCCGTCTCATTACTTATCTTTCAGATACACCAACTTATTTTAAAAAACAATTGTGTGGATATTTAGATTCTAAGAGTATTTTTCTATGATCAGTGTTGATAAATACATCTAACATTACTTTCATTAGTATAAAGATAACTCCTTAGTTTATCACAATATTCATGACAAAGCTTCTTGCAGTGTTCTTTACATCATGTAAGAAATGCTTTGCTTGAATAACTGAGCCCGCATGTGGCTGAGCAGGCAAAAATTGGTTTTTAGAACGGAATGAAGTGGAATAGACTAATGGACTTGAAACTGCAGCCGAGTGCCACCCTTTCAGTAGTAATGTCAGGGGGCAGAAGGACAGACCTGAGCTTTGGAGAAGGCCACAAGCAGGCGTCATTTTGTGTACATATTTATTTACTTTTATATATGTATATGGATATCCCTCTTTCACTAAAACAATCCTAAAACAACAGACTAAGCAATTTATGTCTTCTGTGGTGACAATGCCCATTTGAAACTTGCTACACATATGCTGGGTCAAAGTCTTTTGCAGTCATTTGTTTACAACTATGTGTAATTTTTTATATATATTTACTTTCCATTTGTGCACTTATAAGTGAAACCATGATTTGGTTATGTCTCTGTGTCATCCTTTTACTTGTATGTTCCACAGGACTGAAATTCCAGAGTTGTATAGCATGGAGTGAATAGTTGGCAAAGTGTTCCGAATTTGAAGTCTTATCCTTAATATAGTTCAGGTTTTAGAGTTTTCTTAGGCTATTTGAGTTGTCACATTGGTTCTGTGAGCTATTTTGACTAGTTTTGAAGCCGATTTAGGAGAAATGCTTCTCTTGTAAAGCTTTTCTGCTGGCCACACTGGCCTCTGGTGGCAGTCTGGGAACTGCCAGGGAACAAATGCAAAGCATCTCAAAAATGTGAAGCTCTGTGTAAATAGACATCAAAGGGGAGCAAGGCAGAATTTCCAGCTAACTTTTAAGACAAATTAGATCAGGGCTTTTGGTGTTTGGTTGTTTATGAGGCTTTTGCTTAGATAATCATCAAGCTTCTCGCAGTAATTCACAGTGAAATGGAGAGCAAATAAAGGTGGTAAAGTTTTTAAAAACCCACCCAACTAAAAAACTTCACAACAACAACAAAACCCACCATTGTTATTGAAATGTTTTGTATTCTGTGTAATCATAAACAGCAAATTTTATAATTGTATCTTCAATAATAATTTTCTAACTCTTACATCCATTTTTTCTTCTTCTTTTATTTTAACAGAGACTAAGCATGGAGGAGGCAAGAATGGAAAGAAAGAAGGCCTCTCTGGAAGCTCATTTTTCACCTGGTTTATGGTAATTGCTTTGCTGGGAGTTTGGACATCAGTAGCAGTTGTCTGGTTTGAACTTGTAGATTATGAAGAAGTTCTAGGTAAGAGTTCTAAATCTTAAGATTTTTCTAATAATGTTAATATGCATTAAATGAATGCCATTTTATATTTTTAGATAGATGATATGTCTACTGTAGTGTTTGCAAATTATCTACATGATAAGAATAGGCAGTGTAGTTCAAAATGTATGTTTTAATGCTGAGCACTATTATAATGTTAAAATGGGGTTTTCATAAAAGGGTATGAACATCCTGTAGGATGTCTTTGTAACATGTATACTGTAGTTAATTTGAGAGGTCAGCTAAATATGCAGTTTGAATTTAGCTCTCAGAAACTCACAGCAGTGGTTGAAAGTAGGCAGTTAATGTTAGCTCTGCTCTGATGGACTGTGATGCCTGTAGGGTCAGGACAACTGATCAGTCATCCTCTCATGAGTGAGATGTTGAATGACCTCAGTTTTAAGCTTATAGCAGTGATAATTCTATCTCAATGAGACAATTTTAAGACAGTACTATTAATATAATATTTAAGGTTACAAAGTAATATCTCAAATTTCAAGATGTATGTCCATAGGTACATCTGTTTTCCCTGATGTTGTAGGATTCAACGTGCACTTTTGCACCTGGTGGCTTTACAAAATTTACACATCTGTTGGTACATGCTTTTTTTTTTTTTTTTTTTTTTTTGGACTGATTTTTTTCAGAAAAAAAGTCTTCTGATTTGAAACTTAACTGGGTCTAGTGATGCAAATAATGTTTTTTGTATTTTTACCATGCATGCAGCCAAAGCAAAGGATTTCCGTTATAACTTGTCAGAGGTCCTACAAGGTAGGATATTAGAGAAGTAAGCTTGCTTTACAGTGCCTTGGCTGAAGTTTTGGTTTACTTTATTATGGTTTCAATTTTTTTTAAGAATTACTCTTCTTCTGCAATGACATGAAGCTCGATCATTTCTCATCTGTCTCATTCTTCATGGTTTTGAAGATTATATAATTCTTATTTCTAGAGAGTTATATTTTTGCACCAGTCTGCTGTGTTTATCCATAAACAGATATGGCTCCTTTCTAATGGGTTGCTTCCATACAATGGTGATGAACATATTTTTCTATTCTAGACCCAAGTTTAAATTTTTTCTTACACAAAACTGATTTCTAAGTACCATATTAAGAACTGAATTTCATTTATTTTCATAGCAAGAAAGTTCTGCCTTCATTTAGAGGATGACAATTGTTGATAGAATTTCTGAATGGTTTTCCTTGTCTGGGAAGTAGGCTGTTTACTTTCTGTAAACTTGGCTCTAAAAACTATATACCTATATAGCTATCTCTTTCCCAAGAATTTAGAATCGCAGGAAGCATGTAATCAGAAAACAAATGGCCATTATTTTACAAATTTTTGTTTTATTATTTTCCCTCAAACATGTTAAATGTTTCTTGTGAACTTAAATTTTATTCTGAGCAAAGCATGTCCCTGTCAAGTACATGTTACAGACTTGCTTTAAATCTACTGACTGCAAAATCAACACAGGAAAAAGACAAATTTGTGTTTGGTCTCAAGTGCAGGAAATACAGAAAGAAATTTGAAATATCTGTAGTATTTCCCAAAATTAAAAATGTGGTTAAGAATATTACAGCTAGATTGTTAAGAACAGATGGTCACAACCTAGCATTGACAGTCAACTATCACACATTGAAAACTGTGCTGGACACAAATGGCCAAATCCCTAATTGTCTTTTCTTCCTCTCTTTGCACTTCTAGGAAAGCTTGGGATATATGATGCTGATGGAGATGGAGATTTTGATGTGGAAGATGCTAAAGTATTGCTAGGCAAGTACAAATAAAGGGGGAGCAATGTATATAATTTAGTTGGCATGTTCGTGTTTCGCTTTTTTGTTTTTAAGTCAAAACAATATTTCTGGTTGTTTGTTTTTTCCTGGTTTGAAAACTTACATTGATTTCATTGTGATGGGTTTTTTCCTTAATGGAAGTTGTAAGATTGGGTGTGTACCTCACAGCAATTTTTGTTCTTTTTGTTCTAATGTATCAATGTTAGTGGAAAGCATTTAATCTTACAGAATGTTTTTGAAATTTGGTGCTTGATACTATATTGAATGTTGAAAGGTGGTTGTGATTATCAATAAATTTATCAGATGCAGGACCTAAGATGCTTCCAGCGTGAAAACATTGTTTATGTTAACATGTTAGGCCAGGTCCATTTTAAAATTACTTTAAATGTGCCTTTGTACTTAGGTGACTATTTGTGTAGGGTATTTTTGTATTGTCTTTCCTCTATTCTGAATTCTCCCCAAGTCTATTCATTTTTCTTGCCCTTCAGAAACAGTACATGGCATGAATTTTTCTTCTCTGGCATTGAAACACAGTTTAGGCTTCTGTTCCTTGTAATTTGTGAGATGTCTTTCTGCTGACTGTGTAACTTCAAAGGGAAATTTCAATATTTCAATCTCTAGACATGTTTTATGGTATTGTCTTTTAAAGCACTGCCTTCTTCAGCTTCAGTCAAGCCTTGGGTAGATACTTCTTGCATATCTGATGGTAGAAATTTTAGTTAAGTTTACTTTTTTTTAGATTTTCTTTAGTTGGGTTTGTTCAAATTTAAACCTCTACTGAGCACACAAACCTGTAGAATTAAACAAATGAACAAAGCAATGAACCCCCCAGCATAGTAACTAACACTTGGGCAGAGGACAAAATTGAATGTATCAAACTAGGCAAAGTTATCAGTAGTACATTAGGATGTTATGATTTGCTATTTCAAATCACACTCCATAAAAATCAGCTTGTCATAATTTTATTTTTCCTACTTTTATCTGGAGAAATAAGCAAGTCTTTGTGAAGCAAGTCTTTGTGAAGATGTGTGTTCATTTGTTTAATCCCTTCATGGTTTATAGAAAACCCATGTAATAACTGCATCAATTTGCAGTGGTGTGAATGTGAGAGTCACTCCAAAGAATCTCCAGCACTCTGAATGGCTACAGATTGGGTGTTAATTATAATGGTGACTAAGATAATACTTGGGATAATTATAATCCTAATTTTTCTTTTTCTATTATGTAGTGTATAGCAACTGGATATCCTTTTCTTGACAGTCGTATACAGGCAGAAATATTCTGATGCTTTGTTCCATCTCTGTTTTATGCAGCCTGATATAGCTGGGAGTTCTGCCAGTACATGAAAGTGTTTCTATTCTAAGCTTGTCTTATCATGCATTCAAACCTTGTACTTCAAGTGTGACCTTAAAAGGTCACATATCAAAATTTATTTGCATTATTTTTGAAAAGTTGCTTGGAAATACAATTTATTTTCATTTAAATTTGAGAATAATTTTTGCACTATAAAAGAAACGATGAATTTTTAAGTTTTGTGACACTGAAAAAATTATGAATATAAGAAGATATTTCTTCCAATAGCAGGCATGTTATATTATTAACTGAACTTCCCTGTAAGTTACAGTGCTTGTTTACATTTAAAATTAAATATGAAATAAAAAATGAGCACCGCAATGCAGACAGAAATTATTTCATTGATGCAGAAACTGGATTCCCTCTTGAGGAATTTGTCTTCCAGAGTTAAGTCATTGTAGTAAAGGAAACTGAATAGTAAGCCTACTTTCTGAATATTGAGTGCAAAGCTCCTTTTATTTGTGAGGATTTTGTTAGGAAGGTTTATTACTTTCTGGGATTTTTTTCTGGGTCAGAATGCCATAACAGCAAGTGGTTTCTCTGGTACAAAAGGAGTTACTGCAGTTTGGTGTTTAATGATAGGGATTCATATGCTTTTTTCCTTCTCTGTTCTTTAGCTATTACAACACTTGTATTGTGTATTGAAGTTGTGATGTGTACAGTGGTTTAATGTTGTCCACTCCCATAACTTTCAGTTTTCCCTACACATTTCAAGATTGAATTTCTTATTAATAGTAAATATCTTTTAAGTTTAAATTAATTTAGTTAACATTTTGAGAAATGTTTCTACCAGCATGAGTTTATTTTGTATTTCAAATAATGATTTTAATAATTAACTACTTGGCCATATCTAAGTAGAATAATTAAAATTTATTATTTTATTTCTTGTTTGTATAACGTATGATAAGATCTGTTCTTTTTTATTTATTGGAATCAAAGTGGGTTTCACGATTAGATTGCCTTGAGGGATTTGTGTAATTTTCAAAAGGACATGCGAGAAGTTTGTTCTTCCCCTCTTCCCCTACTCCCCATGTAAGAGAAGTAAAAAGAAACCAAAAAAGCCCAAACCACATGCACCTCCTCCAGTCAGCCAACCCCAAGTTGGTTTGCTTCCCAGTTTTTGTCCACTTCACTCTGATTGTTCTGGGAAAGGTGTTATTCTTAGGGGGAGTGCTACGCATCTGACCTTGCTTTACATCAGTACAGTGAAGCAGTGGCTTTAGTGGTATTACCAAAAAAGTGGCATGTATAGGGGTACCAATGTCTGCTGTAATAGTTACTTTGGAGCCAAGGTGTTTCTTGTACTTCTGTCCCTTTTAACAAGCAACAATATCCTGAGAAATTCTCCTTAAATGGTTGCAGTAGTTAGTACAGTTTTGGAGCTGCAGCTACAGAAAACAATCCCTTTATTGTTCTTGTGCATTTAGTTCAGAGTAGTCCAGCTATGCAGAAAATGGCAAAACTCCATCCTCATGTGTCAGCAGTCAAATGGTAATAAGCAATAAAATTCAAGTAAGAAATCTTCTTTTCCTCTGGTTCACCTACAGAAGAAAAATAAGTTTGCAAGCAGTCATGCTGAGATTGCACATTCAAAAAATCTGTAGTGAGATAATAGGTGTTAAAATAATGCTTTTGCACAGTTCAGCTGTTTAGGATAAGTTTCATGCTCTTTCCTATTTTTCTCGTGTTCTACTGTAGTACTTTCAAATATTTAAGGTTGGCTTGTGCTCGTTTTCGTAAGAAGAGATGTTTACAAGAGGAGAAAAGCTGTCTTGGTAAATGCATGTAGGGAAGTCCTGTGCCGTACTGCTTGTAGTAACTATTTGAATGGACAAATATTTTGACTCCTTCATTCACTTGGATTTAAATTGTCATGTTAAGACTTCTCTTGAGTGAACTCTTTTGAGTCCCTGCTTTAGTAGGGTATGGTTGCTCTGCTTTGGTCACCATTTTCAGATACTTGTTAGGACACTTTTGTGAGCTTATCAGTTTTTCCTTTGAAAAGCAGTTCTTCTTGATAATGGGGGTGAATGAAGATGAAGAACAGAGTATTAATGAGTTGGCAGTTCTTCTGGACTCTTTGTTAGAAAGCAAGATAAACATATGAAATCCTGTGGTTTTTTTCTTTAACTCAGGCTGAAGTGTTGCATGAGGGTTTTTTTGGTTTTGTTCTTGGGTTTATTTTGTTAAATTCAAAGGCCATTATCTTCATCTTGGATAATTTTTGCAAAGAATTGTAGAGAAAAGATTTAGGGTTTTTTTGTTTGTGGTTTTGTTTTTTTTTTTTAACAAAGACTGTAAGACATATTCTTCCAGTTTTGTGGTTCCCTTTGGAGTCCTAGTATTTTCAAAAAATATATGCTGCTGTACTCTGTTTTATAAATGTAATTGCCTAAAAGTTTTATTCTTGACTTTGTGTAATAATAGGGGCATCTGTATGATTCTGTACACGTGTACAAAAATGACTTCTTGAGGCCTTTTGGGAGTAGTGTGTTGTTCTTTTTCTTTTGTTGGATATTTTTTTCCCCATTTTGTTTTTATATGAGGTTCTGACAGACTAGAATGACAGAAGTATTAACTCTGCATTTATAACTTCGATTGTACTTTTAGGATTTTTAGATTCGAATTTCCATTCTTATATTGAGATTTTGTTCTTCAATAAATATCCTTACTTAAGTTTATGTCTTTATATCTTGTATTATCCAGATTTTGAAAACAAATAAGAATAATTGAGTACTGTGCATAAAGTTGTTTATAAAATTTAATTTTTATAGAACTAAGCCATGGAAGAAGTTGGAGAGGGATATTTATAATACCTTGATTGCCTCCTGGATTCAATATGTCATTTTAAAGTTAAAGAGAATGACTGGTCACTCAAGTAGAGGTTCTGGACATCCAGGTGCAAGGATGTGGAATATCATGGACTTGGAAGTTTCTTCAGAATTATCATTGATAATTTCACTATGTGCTGTAAGAAAAATGTGTTGAAATGTGTTAAATGTCTCTGCCATGAACTTCTCTACCTTGAATGTTTCATTAACCTGCATCTAATATTGCTTTGTAATCTGCATGTGCAACACGTTCAGTTAATTTTATGTTTCAATAATCTGTCTTCACCTTTAGCTCACTTTTCTGCTCGTCTTTTCAAAACAAATGAAAATTTGTTCTGGTTAGAAGTGGGGGAAATTCCTCCCTCTTCAGCTTTAAAGCGTACCAGTAATTGTTTGTTGCTGCCTGGTTATTTTGTTGTGCTTTTCCTAGAATGGAAAATTTGAAATGTTATTTAGTATTACAATTATTAGATAATTGTAAAACAGTGATTTTAATTTTAAAAAGCCAAACAAATGTAGGCAAGACCTCCCCCAAAGCAGGAGGGGGAAAAAGCATTAGCCATGGCTTATTTGCACTTTCCAAATGCCATTTAGATCAGTAATTCTTGTAACATAAAATAATAACTTCTACTATTAGGGTCTTTAGCAGTGATGAACTCACTCTTTGCTGTTCTGGCCTTCTCTACCTCAGCTTTTTACCTTGCTTTAGATTTTCTATATAACAAAACTTACACCCTGTATTGGCTACCTACTCATTTTTATCTGGTGTTCTGTATATCCTCAGGTGTGGAAATAATTCCTGAGGATCAAGTGCATCCTATGGAAATCTATCATAGAAAAAAATGGTTGAGAAACATGTTTAAAAAATGCAAAGCAAACAAGCTGCAAATCCAGCAATTAGAATCCTCACTTCTAAGCAAAATCAAAATTCTGCATGGATAAGAATGTTATCCTTAACAGTGTGTCTGTGATGAGTTTGTTTTTATACTCTTTGCTTTTAAATGTTATTCTCAGCCATCAGTTGCAAGCTCTCAAAATTGAACATAATGGTTTTACAAATGAAGAAAACAAATTGAGTGATTTTAAAGTAGTAAAAGATTACTGATAAAAAACTGTCTAAACTGGGGTAGAAAACCTAAATATAAATGGGTTTAGTTTTAGGACTAGGAAGAAAGGAAAGCAAAGCTACTGCTTTTTTTTCTCCTTTTTTTTTTAGTAAGATTCTGGCATAATATTTTGCATGTTTATTGCCCAAATTATAGTCTGTATTGGAAAGATTCAACTTTCTTAACATCTTCTATTTCCTAGTTAGCATTCCTGTAAAGACTTCTGTCTATGACAAGAGATGTCTTTCACAGATCCTCCTTTTGCAGTTTCCTCTTTCCACCTAACTGCTGTCTCTTTTTTCCCCTTCCCTCTCTCTCTCTTTCCTCTATTCTTGTATAGGCCTGACCAAAGATGGCAGTAATGAAAATATTGATTCCCTTGAGGAAGTCCTTAATATTTTAGCAGAGGAAAGCTCTGATTGGTTTTATGGCTTTCTCTCATTTCTCTATGATGTATTGACTCCTTTTGAAATACTAGAAGAAGAAGAGAGCGAAGCTGCAGATGATGTTGATGGTACGTCACAGAATGAAGGGGTTCAGGGAAAAAAGACTTGTGTTATTTTGGATTTACAGAACCAATGACTGAAAGACTAATTTGATTGGCTTTCGAAAATGTCCATGAAATCATCAACCTTAATATAGCAAGAATTTATGGCATTGAGGGGAACCTCCCAAATGGACACTCTAAAGATTGAACTAAAGTTAGCCATGCAATGCTGTTTCAGTAGTTGAAAGCCTTTCAATAATTTTTCCATTTTTTTGTGGCAGGATGGCAAGCATTATGCAAGTGTGTAAATATATGTAGAATAAAACGTGTATCTGTGGTTGTGTAGTTGGTTTCTGTATGTGCTTCAATTTGTGCATTTTGTGCACAAAACTTACAAAGCTTAAGTGTAATAATCTCTACTGTTAACACTATAACATTTGTCTTTCTAGCAAACATTAACTGAAGCATTTTGTAATAGCCTTGATTATAAAGTATTCTAGCATGACTGCATTTTGTAAATACATATTTTTATGTTAATCCTTAATATAGTCATGACAATGATAATTCTCTTGTGAAATATAATTTTAATAAATAACTTATTTTGTGATCCACTGGTTTCTCAGATAGGTTCTTTTTACTTTTTCAAAGAAAGGCACTAATTTATAAGTGCTTGAAAATTCTACAGGAACATTTGTTTCTAAGTTAGCTAACATCATGTATTCAGATGAATACTGTCATATGGTTTATTCCCACTGATTTGGTTGTCATATGGTTTATTCCCACTGATTTATCTGTTTTCAAACTAAATCTTCAGTCATTTCTTTAATATGACAATCAAATCACAAGGGCTGTTCCAAATTTCTTTTAGTTTTTAAGGTGGGCCTTCTGTGGAAGTGGGAAGTTATAATTATGTATTTCTAATGTAATACTGAATATATTAAAGACTAATTGGAAATTAGAATTTTATGTCTTCTATTCCTTGAGAAATTTAAGTATTTAATGTAGTTTTGCAAATTTGAATCTTGTGAAACTGTTTTATGGCAGTTGTTCCAGACATACTTTCCATGTATGTGAATTTTGTCTGCTGTCATGAAGTTACTGGTATAGAAAGGGCAGTTTATAATTGTGTCCTGCAGTTTGTATCAGGTATCAAAAGCTGAAACTAAGCTGTCCTTTTAAAACATGAATTATGTACTCAAAAAAATTACTATTAAAATTGTATCAAATTGGTTTTTGTAATGCCTGCTTTGCTGAAGTTTATGTTGGTTTCCTATATGAACATGATACCCAAGTTTAAACACAAGTAGTTGCAGGCTGAAATTTTAACTTCTTTTAAAAATAAATAAAATTTCACTTACTTTAGCATGCCATTTTTAAAGCAATTTAACGTGCCTGTTTGAAAAAACTTTCTCTAGATCATCCAATTCAAGGTACTATATAATCTTTTAAAAGTAATAAAAATGTACTAGTGTTAGGCAAGTGAAGTGTTGTGATGGGCTGATACTGATACTCAAGGTTTATAAATTAAGTAGAGCCATAAGAGCCTTGGTCACATTTTCTTCCAAATATTTGGGTATTAGGATATAAAAAAGCTAACAACATAAAAATTTAATGGGTTTTAAAACAAGATATATGAAGTGTAAGGCAAAGAAAATAAATAAACAAACCCCTAAACATTATAAAAATAAATGCTAGTAGATCTGGAGTATTACTCAGCAATTGTTAGCAAGTGCAAGAAACTTGCAGTGTCTGAGATGTAGGAAATAAGTAAGCTTGGGTTGTTTTTTTTGTTTGAGAATTTTATTTATCTTAATTTACAAGAAGATTTCTTCTTAATTAGAAGAAGATTTGAATTAGAAATAAGAGTTTCATCACTGTTTTGGGATAATATTGCCTCTCAATGTGGATTACAAAATTGTCATATAACATTGAATTCTATTGAAGATACTTCAGTAATGGAAATAAATAGCCAAAAAGAGAAGGGAAACATCTGCTGTAAGAATTCCATATAATGAAGTTTATACAAAATTTTTAAAAACTGAATTGATAAACTGGAAATATTTCAGGTGAAATTGAGGTGGATTGCTTGAACCACTAGAAGGCTAGAGGCACTGAGGTGATCAGTAAACAGTGAATTAGTTTAATGTGGGTGCAGATATGAAAGGTGCACGAGCAGTTCTGATTTGATATCATGCAGCTTCCTTGTTGGTTTTATTAAGTGTGTAGGCATCTGCTCAAAAACGATTAAGTGGGAATGAAGAATTTGTCAGGGGAGAAGGGGTGAGGGGTGGATGCAAAGACCTAGTGTAAGTAAATATCTTTGTAGGATACTTCCTTCTGGAAAATAGTCTTCTCAGAAGTGTTCAGTCTTGCCTGGGGTTGTTCCTGTTGAGTTGACAATTGAACCCTCACCTGTGGTTGTCTCTGGACGTTTGGAATAGAGGAGTTTGGCTTTCATGTATTCTCTTAATGGTTGTGATTACAAGCAGAACTTGGCTAGTAAGGACAGTAATAACATGTAGTTGAATATTCAGTTATATCAGCATGGCAGGCTTTTTGGTTTGTTAGTTCATTTGTTTTATAAAAGGCATTTAAAAGCAAAAAACATTAAGCTGAGTATGATGTGCAAATAAGCAAAGAAAACTGAACAGTATCCCAATTTGCTTGTGAGTCCGCCCAAATAGTTTGAAATTAGTTGAGGAACTTGAAAACTAAATTTTTAGTTTGATTGTTCATGACTCTAAAAATACAGTCATTGAATTTTTTAAAGTATTTTTAAAGTGTGGGTTGAAAGCTGTGGCATTTTGACTTCTATTATCTTAGAATAATTGTTTTAGAAAGCAAGGCTGCTGCTTTCTCCTGAAGTTTCTGGTTTGAGAATTTAAAACAGGAGAAAATTAGTAGCAAACAATGGTTTTTTGGAATGTGTGTTTTTTCCAGTGTGTGGAAAATATATTGTTTAAGTGATCAGAACTTGCTGGGTTTTATACCTGGCAAGGAATGAAGCTTTATGGATTTTATATTAAATTGGACATGTGAGTTTTATTAGAATACCCTCATATACCTTACAGTTAATTTATATTTAGTTTTTGGAATGCTAGAAATAAATATCTGTGATTAAAATTGTAGTCTTCCAGTTTGTCCAGCTTTTAGAAATCTGTGGGCTGTTTTACTTTGTCATTTGTTGGTAAGTGTTTGATATTTTAATTGCTAGTCTTCAAACAAAATACTGCATTAACCTTCATAGCAAAGCTTTTTCTTGCTTTCTTGTGATACTAATCAAACTAAATTTATCGGGGTAAAAACTCTTAATACCCATACATCTGAAATGGCCAAAAACTTTTGGAAGCTTTGAACCCCAGATTTCTGTGACCACCTTCAGCAGTATTTAATTTGAAGGTAAAAGAGTGTTATATGGCAGAGAGAAATCACAATGCTCATAATGTATAGAATAACTTTGAATTGAAGGGAATAGAGGTTGCGGAGATTGTTTGCATATCTGTTAAAATTTTTATTGCAAAGATTTTTACCCCCCCCCCTTTAAAAAATTTCATTATTAGTTAGCCTCAATTGACTGACTATAGAAGAAATCAAATTTTCATGACTGTTATTGGTACAGGTTGCATTTAGATGGAAGCATAGAAGAAGAATATATTGAAGCATGTGAAAGATTTTCATTTCATTGTCAGATGGGAGAGGTGAAACCCACCTGTATTGTAAATGTAATTTGGAAGCTGGGGAAAGCTGCTGTGTACAGATCAGTCATTTTGGAGAGATGTACTACTGAATTCCCTGTTTGGTTTCCATCAGATAAGCAGCTATCACAATGATGTCCCACTGGCATGAAATAAATTAGGTATTTATCATGTTCAGTTAGAATGTTCTCAAGATGAGGCTAATAAAGGTAAGATGTGCTTGTTGGTTTCTTAAATCTGCTCACTCAGGATGCAGCATAAACATCTGTGACTTCAGGGAAGAAAAATGCTTTCTGCCACGTGTATCTGATCTGGATTTTTCTTCTGACATTAGACAGTTAGATAAGCAAGAGATATTAAAGCAACGTGTGGAGAATATGCTGAAGTTTGGTGTTTGGTTGTTTGAGGGGTTTTTATGCTAGTTGTATGAATTAAAATCTGCACTTGGAGAGATACAGGCTTTGGTAAGAAAAGTACTCTGAGCTCAGTTAAAGGTAAGTGGGTGTTAGCTTTCTGTCAGTAAACTAATTTTGTTTAGCAGATGACTTTGTATGTCTAGTATAGCATATTATAATTGCAAAATCGCAGTAATAATTTTGTGCAGGGGGTTATACAAACAATCATAATTTTTTCTGACGTGCAGTTCTTCTGGAAAAGGAAAATAAAAAGGAGAGAAAAAAATGTTAATAATGATTTTGGCTTACAGATTTTTATTTCCTCTTTTGGCATGCAATTTCAGCATATTTTTTTAGATTTTTGTGTGGCTAAGGAGGTTCTTGATGGAACATCATAAATTAGGGCAAGAGTTGGAACACCAGCCCTAGTGTTTTAAAACTTGACACTTTATATTCTGTTATCCAGGCTTTGCATAAATTACGGAAGGGTAGCAAAGGCTGTCTGTCAGCTGCTATGAGCTAACCTAGCCCATTTGCTTTCTGCAATAAATGCAAAGTAGCCTCTCCCTTTTTCACATCTAAGTGGATAAACCACCTTAATTAGCTTCCATTTGTTTCCTGGTGCTGCAGGTTAAAAATGTTTATGGAGGTAGAGGTTGTGGAGAAATTGACTTAGAGGAAATTTTTCACATGGCAAAGCCTTTTGTCTAGCAAGGCTATTAAAGTTTTCAGGATTATTAAGTGAATGAAATAGTATTTGCACATGCCAGGTTGCTAAATACATTGTTAAATATGAGAATGCTATTTGTCAACTCTGGGAAGCTGCTGAAAAACAGAGAGCTTTTTGCCTATTTTTTTTCAATGCTTATCTTTCTAAATAAAAATAGTATTTATGTATTTTTCTTCTGATGCTCAACTTCTAAATCTCTATTCTCACTTGGGGGTTGTTTGTGGATAATGTTCTTGAGCATTTTTATGGGGAAAAATAGAGGAAATTACTGGACTGTTGCAGAATAGTAATGCTTTGTGATATTCCTGAGCTTCAAAAGGTCCATTAAGATAGTAAGCTGACCACCTTTAAGCACTGTATGAAAATGACCACTCTGAGAGGAGTATTCAATTTATAGAATGACTGTTTGAAAGAGTTATTTAAAAATATTGTAAACCTATGTTAACTTTGAACACAACTTTTTAATTAACTAACTCAAATAATGGCCATTTCTGAACTTCTCTTATACCCACATTTGATGTTACAAATTGTATATTTACTTCTTGCATTGCCAGCATTGGACATTTATAATGTGGGATTGAATGGATTAAAAAGAAGGAACTTTAAAACTAGTTCAAAACCATTATGAAGCCACTTGAATTGGACTTTAGAATAAGAGTCCACAAGTTCAACTACATGATTTATAGAATTCTGGACATTTGTTTGTGTGTTCCCATGCTGTAAGAGCCTAAGTCTTGGATGAATTCCCTTAGGTGCCAGATTTTGTCGCATGCCCTGGACATTGCTATCTTTTGCACCCATCTTGCTTCAGCATAATTGGGGCTGACAAGTAAAACTTCCATGTGCTCTAGGGATTTCCCTTTTAGGGATCATGATCAGGTGGGAATCAAGATGTAGCAGGATTTTGGTCTTGTGATTATTGCATAATACTAATGCTTTAAAATATATTATTTTACATACTTCTCTTGTGAACAGATCTATTAATATGTTAAAGTTTACATTATTATATAGTTATGTCATGAATTGATAATTTGCTGAGAACTTTAGTGCTATTCATTGCTTAAAAGCAGATTGAAACAAAATTATTACTTGTGTGAATGTTCAACAAGTGAAATAACAGGAATCACTAACAAGCTATTTTGTAATCTTTCAACATAGTCAATATATGTTAATTTTAAAATAATTTGAAATATCTGTATGATAATTGTTGTATATATTGATACTTGCAAAATTTCACTGTTTTCTTTGTCAACATATGCTTTTAAGAGTATCTTAAAATATCCAGTAATGTTTAATTTTAATATGCAAAGTGGGCAGGGAGTGTAAATTTAAATATGGTTTTGTTCAACTTTTCTGGGTACCTTTTATTGTTCATATTTATACTGATGATGTGAGAGTTGGAGTCTATTTTTCCTTTTATAGGAAAAAAAAGTTAACTTATTCTTCCATACACTACTTAGAAATAGTAAGACCGAATAATGATTTTAGTCAAGTTAGAGCTCTGGACTTCAGCAATGGTGGTAATCTATGAGGGAGCAGCTCAAAAAGACTTATCCCAGGTGTGAATTTGTAAGGAAATTAATCTTAAGCCTGTATTTTCACTGATTAACCTTTTTTAAAACAATTTTGGCTATAATATCAACACCTGATATTTTGAAAACATATAGTATAGAAGTTAGATGCAAGGTGATTAAAGTGACTTTACATTTAAATTCTTTAATTTTATGATTTCATTTTTTTAGTATAGACTGTTTTAGTATATTGTTTGTTTTTTTCAGATTAAGTGTTTATATATGCCACAGTTTAGGTAGGTACTGTTTTCTGGAAATCTAAGCTCATGGTGCAGACATTCAGTGTAGGTGTTCTGTATGTCTGAATGAGAAGCCTAGTGTTAAGACATGGGAATATCTCTTCTCATTTAATAAGATTATGTATGAGTTTAAAAATACATAGTTACTGTATCTTTTCAGCTTTTCTTTACTTTCTAGTTGGCTTTTAGCTAGCAACTTACATGATTTTTGTGGTTAAAATTGCTGTGTTTGTGAGATTTAAGTTTTAATCCACAGCATCATGATAGTGATAATCCAGTCTCTTTTAATGGTATTAAAAAGATGAAGCTAAATGTTATTTGTATTTTTGGAAAGGTTTCTGCCTTTATGCCTCTTGTGGTACTAGCTATAAATTATAGTACAATCAAAAGGCTGACTGCTCTCAGTTTGTTAGCTACAATGGTAAAAGACTAACAGTCTAAAGGAGTCTGAAGTAATGCAGTTAAGTATTTTAACTAATGAACTGGTAACTGCTTTTTAGTCCTGAATAATACCTTTGCCAAAACATTTATTTTCCTTTGGATAAAGAAACATACATTGTAATTTATTGTAAGAAAACAGTTAGTTTATATACTCTGCAATACCTGTGTACTTGAAGGCCTTTTGAGTTAACATGTTTATAAAATATTTATAAAATTTTATAGAAACATAAATTAGTGCATTTAAGAGGGAACTGGCAAATACTTTGCAAAGAAATCATAGGGGGGTGTTGGTTATAATTATGTGTCAGTACTTGTCTGGAGAACTGAGCAATCTCCAAGTCAAGATGCTTCACAAGTAGCATCTGGTAATGTGGTACTTTTCTTTGCTTAGTCTTTCACATCATACTTGTGATAGTCCTGCAACTGAAGTTGCTTTATTTTTAATGAGTTAATATTTTGTATTTTTCCATAACATTGTGGTGTGCTATCTAAAGTGAACTTTTTACATAAGATGGCAGGTTGGAAAATTTAATGTCAGGTTTATTAAATACCACAAATATGCTCATAACCTATTTCCATTTTGCAACTAATTAGGTGAGGAGCCAGGAGGGGTAGCCAAGAAAAAAACTAAACTCAAAGGTATTTTTAATGTTCTTTTTCATGCGGAACTTTATGCAGATAAGGATGTATGAAATGCATGTGCATTACAAATACCAACTGTGGGTTATAATGTTTACTAATACTAGCTATGTTGGCTAAATATTTTCTAATGGAGCAGCAAATATTGTTCTTGCAATTTCTCAGTATTTACTTTTACTACTGATTGAAATTCAGTGGCAATGTGAGCGCTTTCCTAACTAGAAATGATATTTTGTGGATTTTTCTTACAACAAATGTCTTGTTTGGATTGTAAGTAGTTTATGATAACCTGATATTCTGCATGTTTTTAAGTAATGTGTTGCTACATATGAAATGTTCTTTGTTATGTTCCATGAATTCATGATACCATTACTATATTGTAATTGGCCTTGAGTGCCTTAATTCTTCTAAGGCTGTACTTTAATAGTTTAATCTATTTTTTTTCCTGTGAGAATTGGAATTTAGGCAAAGTCCAACAACTTCCCCTTTAATATTATTTGCAGGATTGATTGCAACATTTTCTGAAAGCTTAGTGTGGGATAGCTTGCAACCAATTTATGCCATATATTTATTTATAATTACATTGCTGTATGAACTGGTCATAGTGTTGAAGACAAAAAAAGCTAATTAGCAACAGCAAACACCAAGGTACCAGGTGTACTTCAGGTGTGTAGCTTTTTATATCTGTTCAGTTGCAGCATGAGGCTGTGGAAACAGTCTCTATGTTACATTAACCACATATAGACTGCAAGGTGTTTTTTTCCTAGCAGTATATGAAAAATGCATGCTATTCACCATACAAACCTTCACGAGGAAAAAAGTGTATTTGCTAAGGAAAGTTTGCTGCTCATTCCAGTGTGGCTTTTCTTAGCATCTTGCATCAAGTTGAAATTTTTAGCATTTGTTCCATATTGTGCTTGGTATAACTTGGTTGCAAACTGCGTGTTTCAGAGACTGTAATAACTGTCGCTTAGCAATTCTTTCCTGAGTTTTGGATTATTTTTCAATGTTTGATATGAGAATAAATAAATGGCATATTTCAAATGTTTTATGTCAAAAACCATTTGGAAGGAAATATGATGTCATTCACTTTAGACCAAACTATGTAATTGAATTGTTCACTCCACAGAAACATTACACAACATTACACAGCTAGAGGCAGACTTGTGAGAAAGTCTGAATAAAAATAGAGGTGTTTATATGTAAAAGTCATTATTACTTCCTTAATAATATGGGAGTATTAGTTTCAAAATTAAATACAAATATTGCATACAGATTTAATGAAAAATCTCTGATTTTTATTGAATTAAAATTCCTTATTCTAGAGAATTCTACTGATATTGACAAATATTTTCAAAACTATGGCAAAATGGAAGTAAATATTGAACATTAAACATATTGAACATAAATTTCAAGGCTTCTGTTCTGATTGTTCTTATAACATATTCTCTGTATACCCTGTCACAGCCAAATGTGAATTGAAGTAAAGAAGCATAAGTGACACAACTTCAAAAGTAAAATAAAGAAAAAAATGTTGATGATAACTGAAAAACAAAGTTGTAAGAACCAACCAATTTACAATTATTGCTTTGATTTATTTCACTGAGTTTAGCCTAACCCAGCTAACTTTTTTGGACTTGATTTAATTCATCAGGACATTGCTGTTTCTTATTACTTGTACTTCTCAATATGTACTTCAGTTACCTTTTTCAAGTCTTTGCTTAATATGAGGTAGCAATATCAGTAAACCATTGTATTATAAATTTGTGTGATAATGTTTATAACTGTTACACTGTTGTCAAAGGTTCAAAATTTATTCTGATTTTCACGCTCACAGGCAAAAGTGGTTTTAGCATTCTGCAGAAGTTAGCAGTAAGATAATAGGGGCATGGTTTTCTCTAGATTAACACTTCATTTGGATGCAGCTACAGTATAAGTCAAGCTTATTTCCTGGCTGCATGGTGTGAGATGTTCCTAAAGGTTTAAAACTAATTTGTTTAAATTGCTTAAAGCTTAGGAGTTAACTGTGCAAGTTTAAATCTAACAAACATTAAATAATAATTTGATCAAAGCTTTTACATGGCTGTTCATAAGATGTTTTTTGACTTAAGAATGGTTCTCTTATTGAACATTTCCTCTTTTTTAAATGAAAAACTAAAAAGTAAAAGAAGCTATTAAAGAATCACTCAAGAAGTTAAGGGAGAAGCAGGAATCCAAAAAGGAGGAAAATGAAGAAGAAAAAAAGAAAACCAGAAAAGGAAAAGATGCCACTGATCGAAAGGAAAAGAAAGCTGTTGATATGAATAAATTAAAGAAAGATTCTGACAAGGCTAAAAGAGACAGAGGAAAGGAAAAAGGCCTAGACAAAAGTATGAAATCCAAGGAGACTACAAAAAGATCAGCCAGTGAAAAGGATGGCACCGTTCAGGTGGGGAAAAGACAAAGGAACAAAAAAGATAGTTAAAAGCCAATCCAAGGAAGACAAGAAAGAAAAGAAAGAAACAAGAGTTCCTGTTCTGCTAATGAGGAACAGACCTCAAGAATGTAAAATTCAGCATATTTATATGAATGTAGTAAAAATAGCAATAAGAAAATAAAGTTTTCTGGAAATAAGTGTGAACAAACGCTATATATAATATTTTTTTAAAAACTGTTCAGTGTGTACTGATATTATAAACACAAAGCAGAAACATCTGCTGTGAAACTCAAGTATGTACATATGTTAATGTGCCCGGCTACCAATGTGTATTGAAAACATTCAAATGTCAGATTGATGCCAGTTACTTCAAGTCTACTCTAAATATGGGTTTGGGGTCTTGTGATTGTTTTTTTTTCTTTCCTTGTTTACTTGTATTTGCTTGATGTGGAGATAAAAGTCGAATGTTCTATATGAAATGCAAGTTTAAAAGCATTATTAACAGGCTTATCTGGACACATGTAGTGGAAACTCATAAGATATTTCTATTTCACAGAAACAACCAAGTGGTGCATTAATGGACTGTAGTGTCCATTATTAACCCAATAAATGTAACTTATTCTCTACAAAATTCTTTCCCTGAGGAAACTGGGGTTTTTTCTGAAAAAACTATTTTGTATGCAAATAGTCAAACCAACTTCAGAGTTGCACTTTATTGTGAGACCTTAGGGTATACTCAATCAAAATGTTCCTGCATTTTGTCTTTTGATCTCATGACAATGTTTCTGGTTTTCTTCCATTCCCTATTTACTTAATTATTTTATTTCTCTATATTTGTGTTGGAAATCTTGATTCATTATCACATTTTTATTTTACTGTGTCATGATTTTTTCCAAGTTTGACAGTCTTTTGGTAAGGAATACTGATGAAAATTAGGCCCTCTATTTCATCATTGATAAGTATTGTTGTATTCCAATTACATGTAAGATGTGATATGCTAGTACTACTCTATTCTGGTTGAACTTGTTTAGAGAACAGCTTGGATATTTTGCAACTATTATCTTCTTCAACACTTTCAAGTGCATGATGCTTCTATAAGCAAAATCTTGTGTTAGTTTGTTCTTACAGCTTCTGTATTTTCAGCATCAATGAAGGATTTATTCAGCAGTCTCATTAGAGCAAATAAAGTTGCAAAAACATTTTTGCAGAGATAATAGAGAGATTTCAGAATATTTTGAATCTATGGTTGCTGTCAAGTTTTTCTAGAAATTAATATTTTCCAAATAAATTTGAAAGCAAGTATATTGTATGGAACTGCACAATATAATTACACAGGGTTTAGAGCAACATTTGTGATGGAAGTTTAAGATTCTTTCTTGATGTACTGCAGTGTTAGTTTCAGGAAAACAAAACAAAGGAGTGAAATTGAGAATGAGTATATATATATATATATATGCATGTGGATGGTAATTTAAGATTGAAGTCCTGAAGGTTAATTCTCTTTTTGGTTTTGCTAAAATTTTGTGTTTAACAGTTGGCAATACACTTAGCTCACCGTTCCATACATATCTCATATCTCTGCATCATGCTTTGATCCCTAGAGTTATAAGATGCGATAATAAGGTTAAAGATGATTTTATTTTATTTTTTTTAGAGAAAATGAAACGTTCAAACAGTTGTGAAAAGTAGTTCAAATTAAAGCTGTAGGAAACAGTACAGTATCTTAAGATTCTGGCTGTGATATTTAACAGAGGTGATGTACTCTGAGGTATATTGTAAATATTTATAAATTCATGAGGAGGGAGGGAAGAGATGTGCATTGTGAACATTACAATTCCTAGCAAAAAATATGAGAGAATGAAGATCTAATAAATGCACCTTCATAATGAACATTCTCTGTTAGTTTTTGGTGATGATAGATATACTTTTTCAGCCTTGCTCTGGTAAGTGTTAAAATGCATATTTGACCAGAGGAGCATTCAAATCACTCTTCTCAAGGATGGTGGCACAATGGTATGGTGCACATCACTTTTTTATTTTCTCCTGTAATGTGCCAGAACTTTTAACTGTGTGGGAGTGAAATTTCAAATGAATTGCTGTTCTGATTAACATATTGTATCTGTGACCCAAAGTTTATGGGGTTCTGGAAAGACTGGGTTGTTTTATTTTTTTCCTTTCCAAAGAAAGTTTTATTTAAATAGCACTCCAGGCTATACAGACAGCCACAAAATAAAGTATTTTTGCTCCAGACATCTGTTGTCTTGTTGTATATCTCTATGAAGTATTGTCATTAAACTGAATGCAACAAGTCACCACATTAGCTCAAAGAATGCACCAGGCAAGTAAAAGCTAAATGTAATTTTAATAAACAGAGGAGAGAAAATAATATCTTACAAAAAGTAAATTATTTGGTATATTACCTACTTGAAAGATTGAATAGAAATCAGTGTTAAGCACAATAGACGTGTATAAAAAGCTTGAAGGGTAAATTGAGAAATGTGCAAGTGAAACAAAGCCACTCTTGTTGGTTCCTTCTTTCCTGTTAAGTACCCATAGTTCTTGTTTGGTGTGGAGTATTGGCTGTCTTTTGAAATGCTTTGAATTCATTTTTGTTCATGAAGCAGAGTATGTGATTGTCTGGATCTGAACATGGGGGTGGCTTATTGAGGGTACAAAATCTTCTTTAAAGCAGTGTATGTGTAAAGTAACTGAACTGTGTTTGTGAAAGCAAGGTGGCTGTTTCCATGCTTATGGATTCTGAGGTGTGAGAACAGTTAATATGACTTACTGGTTTTGTCTCCATCCTAAGATGATTGTAGAAGGAAGTAACTTCTTACTCTTGTAGCCATTAATATTCCTGCAGGAAAAGATGAATGTCTTAATAATATTTTTTAATATTCTAAGTGGGTGTTTTTTTTTAATGACAGAAGAAAATTGGCCAAAAATTAAGTGTAAATTTGGCATTTTTCTTTACCTTCTCATTTTGACTCCTAAGTGGTGGACTCTTAGTTACACTACTTTTGGATAGAGCCTAACTACCAATTTTCAAATAATTGAAATTTAAATAATAATATAAATATTAAATAATTTATTTGAATAATATTAAATAATAAGATAGACCTGATTCTGTTATCCTGTCGCCATTACTTGAAGTAAATACATGCTTTTCTCACAATGCATAAAATTATATCTCTACACAAATTTAGTTTGAGACATACTAGTCCAGTTTGCATTGAGATATGTTTGACTCCAATAGAAATGTGGTAATTACTAATTTTTTAATTGTACATACTTGAAATATAATATTTACCACTTAAGAGATGCTCTTACAGGATTGCTAGTACTACAGGAGTGTTCAATATAGTTTAGCCTCTGCTTTTTTACATTCTATCTTTTCTGTTGATTTCCACGTATACAGCTGTTGAAAAACTAGTTTGCTTTGGGCAGTGGTGTTTGTTGAGAAGGGAGTCTTACCTTAATTGACCTTGGATGTAGGATTATCAGCCAATGCCAATTTGAAGGGATTTTGGTAGATCCTTATTCCAACATCCTGCTCAAAACAGTGTCATTTCAGAGGAATGACCAAGTTACTCCGGCCATTTTCCAGTGTGGTCTTTCAAACCTCCGAAGATGGGAATGCACAGTCTCTCTGTGCAGTCCTTTCCACTGATTTCAGTGCCCTCATAGAGGTGGGGGGTTGTGGGTGTGTGAGTTTTTCTTATGCCCAGTCTGAACCTCTTGTATAAGTTTTGTTTGAACCCTCTTAAAGGAGAGTTGAGAGGAGAATTAGTCTAATACCAACACATTCTTGACCATATGGTGTCTTAAGATGAGGCATAATCTATCACAGCTGTATCTTTATCTCCTGCCATGATGATGATGTTGGTCATTACATTTATTGGTTGCTTTCTTTTCATTGTGTTTTGATCTAGAAAAAGACTGTGGTATAGATAGTCACAATCTTAGTGATAAAATTGCATCAGTCACACTTTTTCAATAGTCATTTAGTTGTCAAACTAATCTTAATCAAATCTTCTAAGATGTAGACATGAATTTAAAGTAATTCTTATTCTGTGCAGCTTTTTGTAAAGTTCAAATTAGTTCTTCATAGAACCTGTAAAATTTATCATATGAAGCACTTTTTGCCACTTATT